ACCATTGAACCAACTTTGGGAGTGGTAACACTCGATTAGGTTTGTCAAGAAAAGGATTAGTATGTTGTTGAAGGAAAGAAAAAGGACCATTTACTTGAACTTATTAAGATATGCTATTTTTCAGTCTAAATTTCTAATTAATACACGCGCACACACACACACACAAAAAAAAGAAAAAAAGAAAAAGAAAAAAAAGAGCTTTATAAAGAAAGATTCCTCCTGTTTGCTGCTGCTTTTTACAATATGGTCCTTGGCCGATTAAAGTGGTTCACATTTGTTGACATCTTTTAAATTCCCCCACATTAATTAATGATCTTCAACCTTAAAAGATCTACCACTACACTCGTACGAAAAATCGTTCGAACCGAACTTATCATTTGAGACTGTTTAAAATCTCAGTTTTTGATCAATTTTTCATAAAGGATGGTTTGTTTTTTGATTCTAAAAAATTTCATACAAATGCTTACCATATTGTGACTCTTTTCAGCATTATAAGATAAATAATCAAATTATATGTTTTGTAATAAAAATTAGAAGGTTATGTATTTATAAAAACAGACTTTATCTCTTCATTTATTCTTGATGTAGGATTCTAAAAAGAGTAATGTTATACAAACTAACAAATATTATAAAATTAAAAAATGATATACAAGTCCACTTTTTAATATATAAAATATTTTTCTTCTACAAAACACTATAAAAGTTTTAAAGTAGTCGATTTTAGTTCTTCAACGTACAAAATCAAAGGGTTTGATTTGGTACTAAATTTTTTTTTTCTCAACTTGATGAAATGGATCCTTTACACCCCCATTATACAATTATCATATTTGTTGAAATATTTGCAATTTTTTTTTATTGGATAATCTCAAAAGTCTATTAGTGAAATCTTTTGCCAATCGAATCCTTAAGAGCATGTCTAATTCAAAATGCGTCATAAGTAATTAAAGGATTTAAGAATAAGTGGTTGGTATGATGAATGAAGTGTTTATTTATTAGTTGTCCGTTAGCAAAAATTAAGTTTAGGTCAAATCGGTAGAGGTGATTCAATAGGAAAAATTAATTTTCACAAACAGCAGATTAATCAAGCAATGTAGTTAGTGTCTTATACCTTGACAGATTTAAAAATTTCTTTGGAGGTTGTAAAATAAGTGCAAACAGACTAAGAATTTGATTAATAACACTTAAACTCATCACTCAATTATAAGAATTAAATTACAAGTTTTACAGCATTACAATCGACAGGTCCAAACTAAGTTACAAGAACTGAAATTACCGTTGCTACTCCTAAGTATAAGAACTACTCCTATGATAAGTTAAACTACTCCTAAATTTCACAAGTGTGTGAATTTGGTTGAAGATCCTTCTCTCTTCAAGTTCTCAGCTTTTATATGGCTTTACTGGCCATGTCATACTGCCACGTGCCTATTGACTAGTAACTTTCACTTGCACATGATCCCATGATCTCTCTTAACCTGTAACTGTCACTACTTAACTGCTACAACTGCTCCCATGCTTCTAAGCCTTCGCATTTTACCAAATCATTAACTTTCTCATTCAGTCCAATATTCCTTTAGGTTGCTACATATTCCTTATCACTTTGAGCCTTAGATTGACAAGATAAAGCTCCTTATTTTGCACATGTTCCTTTCTACCAGCAATCCACTAATGGGTTGTTTGGGGTGTCCCAAATAAGTGCACTTTTTGTCTTTTTGAACTAAAAAGTTGAGGAAAAAAAATATAGATGTTTGGGTTAACTTTTGACTTTTTATGAAAAAATGTGTATTAAAAAATTGTATAAATAAGTGTGTAAGAGAAGTTAGTGAAGTAGACCGTACAGGTTGGGCAGTGCAGTCGGCTGGATAGGAGATGGGAAACGATTGTCTCATTTTTGGGCTTTAATTGGATGGTGTTGTTCGGCCCTTGGGGGCCCACCACGGGTCTCGTTTTTCTAATCAAAACCGTTCAATGTGTACAACTCGTCGAGTACTATATGCTTGTAAAAAATGATATTGATTGGATATCGATAGCTATTTGATTGTGTTAGTTTTTTTTGTCAACTGTTAACTATAACACCATCCATTTTTTATACAAAACTGATTTGATCATGTAGTTAGCGATAACCGATAGACGTGATTTTTTACAGGCATATAGTACTAGACGAGTTCTACATATTGACTGTTTGGATTATCAAAACGGGACTCATGTTGACCCCCACATGCCCAACTTTACCATTTAACTTAGTGAGTGAAGTTGATTTGTATTTTAATATTATGTGTATTAATTTTTTTATATTTTTTTTGATAAATAATGATAACTTTTTAATTTTTTTAATAACTTTTTAACTTTTTTTAAAGTTCCCAAACTACGCTTAAATTTACGACTTAGCCAAATAATTGCTCCACCACTTGGGTCATCCAATGCACGTGACTAACACCTTTTATGCCACCTATCCCTTTGACTGATGGAAGACTCACTCTTTTGTCATATGTCACCATCTGATTGGTCCACCTGTCGACAAGAATTTAACAAAAAAGAATGCAAACAGTGTTGCCATTATGTGATGTATCATATTTTTTTTAGATCTTATTAATATGTGTTTTTAAAGTACATGTTAAAACAACTTAAAATAATTATATATTTTTTAATAGTAACATGTATAATATTTTTAAAATTCTCAAAAAGGTACATTAAGAAAGCCCGGAAAAAATTTAAAAAAAAAAAAAAAAATCAATGAATCCGGCTGACAATGATTTAGCAATAGGGAATGGTTCAGATTAATATGCGGTGGCCTTGAAACTATGCGTCATTTGTAGTCCATAAAATTTGCAACGTAAAGCTGAATAAATAAAACATCAACATTCTCTTTCAATGTAAGAACGTGACAAAAGACGTAAAGATCACTTTACATTAAATGTCCATTTATATACATGGTCCAAACAAATGTTTATATTAAAATTTATTTCCCAATTATTCGAGAAGGATTCTGAATCCTGTACGCCGGTGCTACTTGCACACACATTTTTTTACAAAAACTTTGTATAATTCTTTTTGGATGTATTTGTTTGGACGGACTAGATAAGGAAAATTGTAATTCATGGGATACTTTATGCTCAGACAATTTGGTTGGACTGAATTTATATCCTATGTTTGTTAGATTGAATTTGTATCCTATGTTTATTTAGTCATGAAATTAGATATCTAGATTGGACTATTCTATTGAGTCCTAAGTTTGTTTGGAATATTATGGAGAAAGATAAATGCTCAAAAAACTATTTTGCCCTTTTGAATTATTTACTAAATAATAGAAATATTAAATCTGAATTATAAATGTTATTTTATTTTTTTACTAGAACTTTTAAAAAAATTAAATAAATAGAATATTAATGAAAATTACATAAATTTATTTTAACTTGTAGTTGAGATTTTTAAATTTTATTTTACTTTACCAAGTATAATTAATACCATATTATTAAAATAAATATTTTAATAAAGTATAAATAGTTTAATAATTAAATTTATTAAGTATAAATAATTGAATAAATAAATTTTATTTTTAAAAAGTTATCAAATAATAAAGGTCAAAAATATAATTTCATTACCTAATCTCATGGGATGAGCTATCCTATGATTTGTATCTCACTCCCTATAGGATAAATAGGATAAATAGTCCAATAGATTTGGGATTAAAAATTTTTGAACCAAATAATGGACTACTAATAGGAATGGACTATTATAGTCCTATCCCAAGACTTAATCCCTCCAAACGAACACCAAATTTATGTTTAATTTCTTCAAAGTTCAAAATCTTAACAAAATGTATTGGATTCTATAATTTTAACCAACAAAAATTAAGTAGAAGTAATATGTGAATTTATCCCAAAATAGCCCCATAATTTTTTCTCATGAAAAGTTATTTGTTGGGTAATTTTGGGATATGGCCACATACTAGTGTCTCAAGAATGTTGTGATTGGTGAAGGAGATAGGACCTACAATTTTATGAGAAAATTGTTCAATAATTTTGAAATACTACGTGGTCATACTCCAATTCAATCATCAATTACTTAGCTTTATATTGTTCTCCCATCTCCAACATAAATTATGGGCTTTTATCATTCTCTACCAATCAAAACTTTATGAAGTACCACGTGCTTACACTCCGGAAATACTGAATAATCATCTCCAATTTTATGTTAGGTTATAAAAAATAACAATGGGTGAGAGACATTTGCTCCTGAACTACCAAATAATTTTTCTGAATTTATATAGTATTATAAGTTAATAAAAAAATTAAATAAATAAGCTTACTGTTTTTTGTACAGAAAATAAATAAGCTTTATACCTACTATTTACACTTTGTATTTGTCAAAAAAAACAAAAAATACGTAGGTGGCGGGGATTGGAGAGACACATGGAGTGCCAACCTCCCCCGTGCGCGCTATCGATAGTTGCTCGGCAGCAAGCGATGAGTTATTGTTTGGTTTATCAGCAGTGTCACGTAACGCTTTTTATATATTATTATTGATAAAAAAAAATAAAAAAAATTATAATTTTATATTAAATAATTAAAAATATCAAAAGAAATAAAAATTTATAATTGATGGAAGATATCACCACGTCTATATATGAATCAACCAATATTTATTTATTTATTTTTAAGTCAGCTCTCTCTCCCTCCTCAATTACAATCATCATTAATGGCATGGCATGGCATGCATCCTGCCAAAATAGAACCCGTTAACACAATACATACACATCTTTCTCTTTCTATCTCTCCTTTTCTTCTTCAGTAGTGCGATGGGGGTTGTCTTGTCAGCTAATTAAGACTAAGAGGGTGTGTTGTAAGAGATCACAAGAATGTGGGAGACAACTCAAAAACACTTGATTGAAGAAATCCCGTATACCATCTCTTACTCACTTGACTATACGTCTTTTTGGGCCTTCCTGTGGGACTACCCCCCTTCACTCTCCCCCGCCTATATATATATCTCCCTCCTCTTCCCTTGCCTCTCCACAAATATTCACTCACTCACTCACTCCCTCCCTTCTTTCTCTTTCATTTCTTTCAAACTGATCATATAGCTTAGTGTCTCTCTGTTTCTTCAATGGCGGACACTACTAACTCAGCCTCTACTACTATTAAAATAATGGGTTGTTCGATCCCCGAAAGGCTCCAACTGCACATGTCCATGTTGGCCTTGCAGTTTGGGTATGCCGGTTTCCATGTAGTCTCCAGAGCTGCCCTTAACATGGGCATCAGCAAGATTGTCTATCCCGTCTACCGCAACGTTCTCGCTCTTCTTCTCCTCTTGCCTTTTGCTTATTTTCTTGAAAAGTGCGTTTTTAATCCAACCCATTAATCAAATTAAATTAATTCTCTAGTCCATTATGATTTCTTATTCAAATTAACAAGTATTAATAACAATATGCTCTTTTTGTTCTTTCTTTTGAATATATCAGGAAGGAGAGACCACCACTCACTCTTTCTTTACTTGTCCAGTTTTTCCTCCTTGCAGTTATTGGGTATGATCAATGAATTTCTCATGTACATATACTTAGCTATATATATATATATTATCAGTGATTCTCTGTTCACCAAATTCACCGTCTCGTGTCCCAATTGTTCTTCTAACTGTGTCATGCAGCCAAATATTTGAAATCCTTGGTGTACGATCATGATCATAACAGAAAATCCTATTATATATATGCTCTTATGTGGATATATATATGTAATTCATCTCATGTCAATTGAATTGTTATAATAATTCTAATTGCATTAATTTTATTCTTAATTCTTTTTAATTTTATGTTAATTTAGTCAAATTTATAACAATTTTTAAACATTAAGTTGAGGAATATTCATTCTCTTCAAAGTAATTCCACATGAAATGATGAATTCTCTTTTGAATAGATCATTTTACTTTTGATTTTCAGTTTAATTTCTCAATAAATATGATAAATTGGATTAAATGGACATAAAATAAAAATTGAAATACAAAATTTGTAAGGTTTTGAACATATATGAACTAAGTTGGTTTTTTGTTCGTTGTATTTCTTTTGTGGGACAGAATAACTGCGAACCAAGGATTCTACTTGCTGGGATTAGACAACACATCACCCACCTTTGCTTCTGCCATACAGAACTCTGTTCCGGCCATCACTTTTCTCATGGCAGCTTTACTCCGGCAAGCCCAGATTCTCCTTGCATTAATATACTAAAACGCATATACCTTTTGTTGAATTTCTAATAGATATATGTACGGAATTTTTATACAGAATGATATTTCTAATTGTGATTTCATCCTTCCAAAACAAAAGGTTCATCACTTGGACTTTTAATTTTAAAAATGTTACTATCACATCATTTTAATCAAGAATTTTATAAGAAAATTCATAGGTTTGTACTTTAGAAAATGTCTTTGTCACATTATCTTGAATAAGAATTTGTATAAAAATTCAGTTTCCATATTATTTTCTTTTTTGAGTTGTGATCTACAACAGAATTTTTGTACATAATTTCTATACAGAAGGACATATTCCATTATTTCAAAACAAGAAACTCATCAATGGAGCTTATAATTTTTAAAACGCCATTCTGATCGAAAATTTTGTATTTATTTATTATTTTTTTTAATAATGTATTAAACCTTCAGGATAGAGCAAGTACGATTAAACCGAAAGGACGGTGTGGCGAAGGTGGTGGGAACGGTGTTGTGCGTGGCCGGAGCTTCAGTGATCACACTGTACCAGGGTCCGACCATATACAGTCCAAGTCCGCCACTGCAAAGGGCTTTGCCGGCGATGCTTGTGCTTGGAGACGCTAGGGGAAAGAATTGGACGCTGGGTTGCCTCTTCTTGATCGGCCATTGCTTGTCGTGGTCCGGCTGGCTCGTGTTGCAGGCTCCGGTTGTGAAGAAGTACCCAGCTCGGCTTTCGGTCACGTCTTACCAGTGTTTCTTTGGGGTGATACAGTTTCTGGTTATAGCTGCGTTCATAGAGAGAGACCCACAAGCTTGGCTTGTTCACTCTGCTGGAGAGTTGTTCAGCGTCGCCTATGCGGTGAGTGACTTACTCTGCTAAATTTTTATTTTGACAAAAACATTTTACGTCAAAATAAACGCAGTCTTAAAAAGGAAAAAAACTAAAAAGTTAAAAAAAAAAAATTTATTGAAAACAAACATATCTAATTTTCTTGAAAAAGCCATCAAAAACTTTCTTTTTTTTGGTGCTTGTAAAGATTTTCATTTGTTTTTTTCTGTTCCAATACCAATTCCATGCCCAAAAAAAATCTAATAGTATAATAACACCCTATTTAAAAATAAAATTATATTAATTGAATAGATCCTATCATATTATTAATACAATGGTGACACATATAAATATATTGTGATGGTAGCATTTCAATTGGGGGACTATTTTAAAGTTCAACAATGATTCATCCCACTAAAAATATCACCACTAATAGCACTAATGCATTAAAAAAATAAAAAAATAAATAAAAAAACACATCTCCAAGACCAAAACATCACATCATTAATGACGGGACTCACTGCCACCTAATTAGTGGGAGCACTAATTAGTGCTCCCAAGCATTTTTCTTTAAAGTTATGCAATGCATGTGAAATAAAAGGGTAACTTTGTCCCAAATGGACAATTCAAGTTTGAAAGGACTAGAGAAGGAGACTGGCAAGTGGGGCAGGAAGAACATACTCACCCAAGTTCATGTATAATGGGGAGGATGATGAGTCAATTTCTTTGATTTATGTCTGCTTTCTTTTGTTATTGGTTTATGATAGTACATAATATATATATATATATAGATTGATATTGATATGTAAGTGTAGTTAGTTAGGAGAAGTGGGTGCTGGAAATGATAGGAGACAGAGAGAGAAAGAGGGGTTGATAATATAGATAATAGCTAATTAATTTTGGAAGTACATGTGCTGTTGGGGAAATGTAGGGAATAGTGGCATCAGGGATAGCATTCGCTGTACAGATATGGTGTATTGACAGAGGTGGCCCGGTGTTCGTGGCGGTGTATCAACCTGTTCAGACTTTGGTCGTCGCTATCATGGCCTCCCTTGCTCTTGGCGAAGAGTTCTACTTGGGAGGGTACTCTCTCTCTCTCTTTCTTGTATTTCAATTAGAAAAATTACAGTGGAATTTTTTTAAAATAATTATAAATTAATGAAAAAATTATTAATATTTATAAATTTGATTACTAATTTATAAATTTTTTTTTTTAAAAAAAATATCAGTGATTTGATATTTTATCTTTCAAATTCTCATTGCATATCATATAGTAGCATTTGATGTAATGATACACTACATAGTAATTTACTAGTCTTTCTTACCGGTTCACACTTATAAAAACCTATCCCATTTGTTTCAGTTTTTAAAATTATTATTTTTAATTTTTATTAAAAAACCAAAAATTAGTTAAGTAAGAAAAAAATCTCATCATTTTTATATGGTTCTCTTTTTGGGACAAAAATAAATTTTAAAATATTATTCTAATACTTTTGTTTATCAAATTAGTTTTTATTTTGAAAATTCTACCAAACATTGTAACAGTGTTAATGGACTCTTGTAGTATGCAAATAGAAGCTCCCAAAGATCACTGTTTTAGTAGAGTTTCAACGAGTGATAGGGTATTTCGTAATATAACAAAATCTATAGGGTATTAATGTAAAATATAATATTTTGATGGAGTCTCACTGGAGACTTTTTAATTGTGTTGGCTGGTGCGATGTACAGGATCATTGGCGCGGTGTTGATCATAGCAGGGCTGTACTTTGTCCTGTGGGGTAAAAACGAAGAAAGAAAGTTTGCAATTCAAAAGGCACTGATTCAGTCCCCCGCGGACCACGGTAACAACCGTACCACAAGCCACATCAAGTCGTCCATTGCTCAGCCGCTGCTTTCTCAGTCAACCGAAAACGTTTGACCAGCTCAACCTTAACTTTTAACCACAATGTTTGCTGGCAACAAGTTAAAAAACAAAACAAAAAAACCTATTACTATATTAAGAAAAGCTTGTTGTGTGTATGAAGTTTTTTTTTTTCTTTTCTTTCTTTCAAGCTTTCTCTCACTAGGAATGGAGCTTAAAGAGGAGAGAGGGGGAGGGGGATGAATGTGATGGATATTATCTTATGATGTGGGTAATGGGATGATGTCCCATATGTACTTTTTTTTTAAAATTTTATATGTTAATTTTATGGTTTGATTCATAAGAGAAAAGATATGCACATTATCAAAGCTAATAATGTTTACGATCGTTGTGGCATGGAAATGAAAGGACCCCAGATTTTGTATAAATAAATATAATTAGGTAGTAGTATTAAATATATATTATATTATATATATATATATATATTGCTAAAGATGGCAAATGTAAGCATGCCTCTTTCCTTATGCATCATTCCAACACTCAACCACAATGCTTTTATCTGCAACAAATCATCTAAATTTGGATTTGGTCTTGTCTAGTCATGATTTTGTTTGTAAAGTATGCAGCAAATTATTAAGTGGGACATTGTTAGAGCTCAAGAGGATCTTAAAACTGTGTTTAGTTAAGAAATTTGGAGAGAGATTTAGAAATGAAATTGGGAAAAAATATATAAAATTATGTGAAAGATAATTATATTTTATTTACATTTCATATACCTTTTCTTTTTTTCTTTTCAAATCTCGGAACCAAATATAGCGTAAACACTTTAAAACATGACCATTCATAATTGGGAATTGAGATGGGGAATAGATGGAAAACGGATATGACAAGTGTAATGAGTGTGTGAGATTAGGTTGGATGTAGTGTATAAATCTTGCTTGTTTGGTCACTAAGAAAACTCCTATATAAATGGTAAACCAAAGGTAAACATAAGGGTACATAACCCTCTTTTCATTGCTTCATCTCTATCTTCAATTTTGAATATCTAAAGATTTATCATATATATATATATATATATATGTGTGTGTGTGTTAATTTAATTATCCAAAAGTCTTAAACTACCATCACACCAATACTACTCCGATAACTTTTTAAAACTTATATGGGTGATCAATGTCTATTTCATCAACAGAAAACTGTGCCAATCATTTTTTGCGAAAGCACCTAAATTTTGCACCAATTGGTTAAGATAACAAGAACAAACAAACCAAAAAAGAATTGCAAAAATAGGCCCCTAGTCCTCATAAGGTGCTGTACAATAAAGCAGTCCACACTTGGTGCCAATGGGAAATCTTACAAATGCATAACACTAAACTAGCTTGGGTTGGGTCCCAAATCTGCAAGGGTTACACTTGGGTCAAGACATATATGCATAATAATGGCCGACCATATGTGATGAGATAGCTAACTAGCTAGCCATCTTCTCCATCACTTTGACGATTCTATTCAATCAATTCTACACTCCTGATTCAAACACATTTACTGTTTAATTACCTTATTTTGGAGTTTTCCTTTCACATTAATTATCAATTATTTAAAAAAAATAAAATTATGAACAAAAAAAAGTCCGAGAGAATGAAAGCAACTTTGTTTCAATTCTTTCTTAGTGATGTGAGATCAATTTGCATGGTATTTGACCCAAAATATCACAATACAAGAATTTTAAATTACGATGATGCAATTAAGAATTTATTAAAACAAAAAAAAAGAAGGATATAAATTTTAAAAAATTGCTTTGTTTCTTGTTCCATAATTTCCTCCCCCAAAGAAGCTGACTTCAGCAGTTTAAATTTGAAAGCTAAATTTTTTTAAAAATGAACAAATTTACTTTATATCTCATAGAAAAAGAAAAAAGAAAAACGAAAAAGTTCTCACAAGTCATCCAATCACGAGTAAAAATTGAAAAGTAAAAGTTATGAGATATCTAAACACTATGAGGATAGAATTAACAGATCCCAAGATGGCATGATTAAAGAGCAACAATCATTTTGGATCATGATAACCACATTTTAATGCTTTTTATTCTTTCAAAGGCATTTCTTTACAACATTTTTTTTTTTTTTTTTTGAAATGGAACCCACCACCACCACCACGCCACTGTGAAGTTTTCACATTTTTTAAACATTTCAATGACATATTGTACGTCTCTAGCTGATTTTTTTGAAAATTTTTTCGAACCTTGTTGTTTGATATCTAGTTAAAAAATATTATATATATATATATATATATATTTTTTTATAAAAGAAATTGACTTTAATGATTCTTTATTTTAAACGTGTCAATTTTTTTTGCCGCCAGTTTCATCTAGGAAGAAAAATGTAAAAAGTAAAAAGTAAAAAAATAAAAAATAAAAAAATCTATAAAAAAATTACAAAAGACAAAAAATAAATTAAAAAAATTACTATTTATTTATTTTTTTGGTTCCTACTAAAATTATTTTTTTTTTTTTTTTTTCCCTTTTTTTTACTCTTTGGTTTGTTACAAGAGAGTTTGTTACATATGGCAACAGATAAAAATACTAGCTATAAATCTAACAAAATATAAAATACTAATAAGAACATAATTATCAAATCAACAATATTAGGAACTAGAATATATTTTTAAAAAAATATTCAGAAATGGTTGAAATGAATTTCAAAGGTAAGTTACAGTACACAAAATTAAATCTATACCATTCACTATCATCTTGGATAAATTTCTTGAAGTATATTTTTTTTGAGACCATAGTTTTTCAATTATCAAATATATCTCGAATTTTTTTCATAAAATTTTAATGACAACACCCTACTTTGAAGTTCCCCTTTTCATCCCCACCACCAACTTTACAACCGACCTCGTTAACAAGAAATTATTCAATACAAGTTCAAATGCTTCTTCAAATTTGTAATTATTGATCTAAGTTATAAAACACATAATTATTTTATTTGAGTGTTAGGAGAAAGTGTGAAAGGTGACAAGTTTTTAAAGGAATGAATCATTGCTCCAACAAAATTGAATACGTTCTCCTCCCTAAACAAACATGGACTTAACCCTCACATTCATCGCAGACCCATCTCTTCCCTCGTGTACCGCAAAGCCACCAACAAGTACACCAAGAATTTAACGGCGTTAATAGCAAACAACAATGCTAGAGGGTCACAATTTTTGTGGTCACAATGGCTCAAAACTGACAAAACAACGTCGTTTTGACAATTTTGAGCTATTGTACCCACAAAAATTGTGACCCTCAAACATTTTTCAATAGCAAAATCCAGTAAAAGTAATCGAGCCGGCTCGCATTAAGACTGTTTCTCAGCCACCCTTTTTCGACCCCACCAGTTGCACTCTCAACAATCTTGTTATAAGAATAGAGAGCGATAATATGATTCTGTATATTTTCATGGATGAATATGATAGGTTATTTATATGAATACTTACTTTTTTTTTAATTGGTTGTTTTAAAAAATTATTTTAATTATTACTTTCATTCATTATTTGATTTTGTTTAAAATTTTTTTTTCTAGAGTTTAGGGTTTTAAAATAATAAAAAATAATGATATTGATGATAATGGTAAGTTTTGGAAGTGTGGATTGAAGTTTTGGAGGGAAGAAGAATAAGAAAAAGAAAAAGAATAGGAAATAACTTTGATTTCTTAGAGTAGAAGATACAGAGATTTGAATAGAAATAATTGATTATGGTATACCATGAGAAAAAAAAAATTATTTTAAAGTTTAATATGTGTTATTCTTATTAGTCAATTCACATTATGATATAATAGGAATTAAAATTTATAAATTTAAATCGGGCTTATTGAGATTTTTTTGGGTTGAAATAGAACTTCCCGTACCACATACGCAAAAAAAACTTGCACCATGTTGAAAATGCAATTATTTTTCTATTGATCCATTGAAATGTAATTTTCTCAACTTACATTTTATTTGGTTTACTATAATGGATGTAGAGAAAATTGTTGAAAAATTCAATTTAAAGAGGGTACAAGATATTAAGTTCAGTGAATATTTTTTTGTTGGTAAGAGGTATACCCTTTTTGAAATAGTTTGATAATAAGTCCTTTTGTTGATTTTTTTAAAGGATATTTTGTTTTCAATTTTATCCATTAATTTATCTGTTAACTTTTTTTGACTATCTGTTTAAATTTATATTTATCTGTTCAAATTATTTTCTATCTGTTCAATTTTTTTGACCATATGTTCAAATTTATATCTATCTGTTGAGTTTTTTCCCCATCTATTCAAAATCTATGGGTTTATCTATCTATCTATCTATCTATCTATCTATCTATCTATTTAAAATCTATGGGTTTCTCTTTCTATTTGTTTAAAATCTGATGCTAGTGTTGTTTTTTTAATTTTTTTTCTATCTGTTGAAATACTAAGCCAAATATTTGTTTAGACTGTTCATTTTTTTTTTTATCTATTCAAATCTTTGTTATTGTCCAAGCCACTATCTGCTCAACAATAATAACAAAAACTTCATTATCTATCTCTCTACTGAGATTTTGATAAGAATAAAAAACAAAACAAAATTCCCTTATTGTTATCAGTTTATTAGGGTTTCCAAATTCGCCAAACTGAGTTGTTACTTCAGCTGCCGTTGCTGATTTCCATATCTCTTTTCAAATTCTTCCTAAACTCTGCTAATTTCAGCAAAACAAAATACGTTGTACAGGGATTGATATATATATATATATATATTGAAGTAAAGAAGTAGAGATGGCAGCACAAAAGAAAGAGTAAGATATGTATATCCATATTGGTGAGAAAGATCAAGATCAGACTAGAAACTCATCTGTAAACCACAAGTTACCTACCCGTTCAAAACCCTTTGTCTTTCTGTCACTCTCTACAAACCCATTTCATTAGAGTCTATCCTTAGAGTTTCTAGCTCTATTCATATCTGAGTTCGCCGGCGTATCTCTGGCATCCTCTGACCCAAATCGATAACCTTCTTTGTTTTTTTACCTTCATATCAACACTCACACCTACATTTCTCTCCCTCGTCTCCTCTGTGCACCTTCACCGCCGTCTTCAATTCCACCATCACCATATCCTACGGTAGGTGCAAAGCCACCATTAGCTGCGACTGAAGCCTCAAAGCCAACTGATTATCACTAGTGTTATGAAAGTAGAGAGAAAAGAAAAACTCTATATATTGAATTAAATGAATGAATTTATGAGTGAATACAAGACTCTTTTATATAGGAGAAGGAGAAACTAATATGAGAAGTAATGCACAATATGGTAGGGTGTACAATATGGCAATATAGATATATACAATGGCAATATAGATATATACAACTAACACTCC